AATATAAATATATATATGAGGTAAATATTTTTTTTTTTAATGTAGAAAAATTTTGTCTATCACACCCATATAAATATGAGTGTGTCCCATTGTAAAGAAAAGAGAGAAAAAAAGATTAGTGGGACCTACTCACTTTTATGTGAGTATGATAGAGAAATTTTTTCAATATCAAAAGCAGAACACACACACACACACACACATACATATATATATAGATATATGTGGAAGGATATTGTAACAACCAGGTTGTGTTACTACCAAGTGACTACCAATCAATCTCACCGTTAGATCGATTATGTTGATCCAACGGATATATTTATTTCCATCTTTGTATGGTCATGATTCCCCATATTTAAAGTGAAAGCATTAAATATGGGAAATCATAACCATACAAAGGTGAAAATAAATATAAAGTATTAAATTTGGGGAATCATGACTATACAAAGATGGAAATAAATATAACCGTTGGATCAATATAATCGATCTAACGATAAGATTGATTGGTAGTCACTTGGTAGTAACACAACTTGGTTGTCACAAAATCCTTCCCCTATATATATTATATATAAGGGAAGGTTATACTTACAATCTATTTTTGTTTACAACTTCTTACAACCATATCTTAACCGTTGATTTCCGTCAATCAACGGTTAAGATTTTTGCAAATCAAATTTATTAATTAATTATTAATTCGTAATAAATGACAACCGTTGATTGACGGAAATCAACGATTAAAATATGATTCTAAAAGATTGTAAACGAAAATAGGTTGTAAGTATAACCTTTCCCATATATATATATATATATATATATATATGTATATATACACACACACACACACACACACACACACAAACATACACACTTTTATTTGTGTGTAGAAAATAAATTTATGTCCTACAATACGAGAAACATTAAACCCTATTTATTTAGGGATAAATATTTCTACAGCTATTTTAGATAAGGTTATCTACAGCTACATTTTATAACTACGTATTACCAGTAGTACATAATTATATTATTAAAGTTACTTTTTTTTTTCTCTCCTCAGTCACTTTTCAGAACTATTTGTTGATGTGGAGAGAGAGAAAAAAACAACTTTAATATTATAACTATATACTACCGGTAATACATAGTTATAAAGGGTAACTGTAGATAACATTATCTAAAGTGACTGTAGAAATATTTTTTCCATATAAATAAATATACACACACACACACACAAAAGTATGTGGGTGGGGCTTAGAGATAAGGTGGCTCCACCACCAGGGCCATGTGAGGAGAAGAGAGAAAAAGAAAATATGAGTTTCACACACTTTTATGTATGTGTAGGAGATAAATTTATCTCTTATAACATGAGAAATATTTTTTCATATATATATATATATGTGTGTGCTATGAAGTACCGACACTTCAAAAATTCTTACGTGTCGTGTCCGACACTTCCCGACACTCTCTGACACTCCAATGCGCGTTGTAGAAACTCAAAAAAAGGTTCAAAGATTGTGTTGCATTACGTTTCTAGTTCTAACTATTAGATTCGTTGGATTACTATTACTATTTTATTGAATTTAATATAAATATTTGTGATATCTTATGTTTCTTTGCAAAATTAATGGGTATTATAAGTTTAGCTTATTTTTTTTTGTTAAATTATTGAATATTAAATATAATATAAGAAACATAAATTAAAAATATTATTTAATATTAAAACGTGTCCTAAATGTCGAAATCTAACATCTTTTAGAATTAACGTATTGGAGTGTCGTGTTGTGTCTCGTGTCGGTATCGGTGCTACATAGTGTGTGGGGGGGGGGGATATAGCTCTCATCTTGTAGCGGAAGTTTTCTTCTGCTACAACGAATTAACGCTATGTATTACAGGTAATACACAATTATAATTTTAAAATCTATTTTTTTCTCTTTCCTCAAAGATTGTCGGCTGATGTGGCAAAAAGAGAAAAATCAACTTTAATATTATAACTATGTACTATCAGTAGTACATAGTGTTAATTGGTTGCAGGAGACGTTTCTTCTCCGATCCTATAACATGAGAAGTTGGGGACCCTATATATATATATATATATATATATATATATATATATATATATATATATATATATATATATATATATATATATATATATATATATATATATATGAGGTAGGATCCTTTGACACCGGTGTCAAATTTCAATTTTGACACCTCATCTGAGAGCCGTTAGATAAAAAAAAAAATCAATGACTCAGATTTGTAAGCATTTGAAACCATTGATCTTTTTTGATATAACGGGTATCAGATGAGGTGTCAAAATTAAAATTTGACACTGGTGTCAAAGGATCCAATCTCTCTCTCTCTCTATATATATATATATATATATATATATATATATATATATATATGATAAAGTTTGCCTTTTCAAAGAACATAATTTATGTCATTTTAGCAATTTATAACTATATGCTAAGGGTAGTACATATTTATAACATTAAAATTGTATTTTTCTCTCTCTTCAAACACTGTTTGTTTGTTGACGTGGAAAGTGAAAAAGTATAACTTTAAGGGGTTCATTTTTCTGCAGTAAGTCCAATACGACGTCGTTTTGGGGCGGAAATCATGATATTTTTGTAATTTTAATTTATTTCAGGATAATTATAGTCTTTATAATTATAATTTTTTAATCTTTCAATCCCAAAACGACGTCATTTTGGAAGTAAATGTAGATAACTTATCTGCATTAACTGCAGAAATATTTTTCTGAACTTTAATATTATAACTATGTACTACCCTTAGCGCATAGTTATAAATTGCTAAAAGGATATAAATTACATCCTTTAAAAAGACTAATAAGTCTTACACCACATCTCAACTGTTGATTTTCGTGCATCCAACAGTTATAATATATGAAGTCATACGAATTAGTTAATATTAATTAATCATTAATTACACTACAAATACCAACCGATGATTTACGTCCACAACGATTGAGATGTGGTGTAAGATTTGTTAGTCTTACACTAGTGTAAAAAGAACAAGCCCCGTATATATATTAGGTCTCACTTATTAATTAATTTTTAATTTCTAATAAATCTCAACCGTTAGATACACGGAAATCAACGGTTAATGGTGTAAGATTTATTATTCTTACACCGGTGTAAGTTGATCTTATCCCTATACATACATACATACACACACACACACACACACACACACACACACACATATATATATATATAGGGAAGAGATCTTTTGACTCTAGAGTAAGATTTACAACTCTTACTCCTCATCTCAACCGTTGATTTCCGTCCATCTAACGGTTATCTATAACAATTATTTATTTATTTATTTCAAATAAATAATAACAGTTAGATGGACGAAAATCAATGAGTTAGATGGAGAGTAAGAGTTGTAAGTCTTACTCTAGAGTCAAAAGACCCCTTTCCATATAGGAGAGAGATCATTTGACTCCAGAGTAAGACTTATAACTCTTACTCCCTATCCTAGCCGTTGATTCCGTCCATCCAACGGTTATAATTTAAGAAGTTATATTAATTAATTAATTATTAATTACACTATAAATGACAATCGTTGATTTCCGTCTATCAATGGCTTAAGATGGAGAGTAAGACTTAAAAATCTTACTCTGGAGTCAAAAGTACCCTCCCCAAATTTCAAAGTTTGACACCGATGTCAAAGGATCCCCCCACACACAGACATATATATAGGGGCAGGATCCTTTGACACCGGTGTCAAATTTTAAAATTTGACACCAAATTCTATCTGTTGATTGGCGGAAATCAAAAGTTAGGATTTGGTGTCAAATTTTAAAATTTAACACCAATATCAAAGGATCCTATGCCTTATATATATATATATATATATATATATATATATATATTGTTTGTAATACGCAATATTGGTGACAACATATCATCTTAATAACTGAATTGTTGGAAATCAACCACACACAAATCGAAAACGAAAAAGAAAAGGGAGAGAGAATAGACACAGCGATTTACCCTGGTTCACCCAATATAGGTTACGTCCAGCTTGTCTGTACTATATTCACCTCACCGCCACTCGTTATAAGTCACTCGGTTTACAAGGCAAATATAAATAGAATTAGAAAACCTTAACAACAGCAATTCATGGGCCCAAGCCCAAACTGCTAAGAAAATTACAATAAAACAGAAGTCCACAACAGTACCTAGCCTCTACGGGTCTGGGGGCAGCGACCCCCGCCTACTCATATGGGAGCGGGACCTCAGTTGCCTTTCTGTTGACCCCGACAACTAGGGCCATCATCAACATGCGAAGTATGAGCCATACCCAATTATATATATATATATATATATATATATATATATATATATATATATATTGTTTGTAATACGCAATATTGGTGACAACATATCATCTTAATAACTGAATAAGGGACGAGGATAAAAGGTGGATATACATTTTACGTACCATTTATAAAAATCCTTTTTACTTAAGGGGGTATTTGTTAGAGTAAATTTTTTGGTAATTCTATTTATCTACTTTTGGTACAAAGTTTCTGAAATTCTTTCTGAAAGTTTTGTTTTTTGTACAATTTTTTTCCAAAATGTTCTTGGAATTTCAGGTGTTAGAAATTTTTTATATTTTTTTGGGAATAATATTTTGACCTACTAAATAGTTTTTTGATAATATTTTCGGGAAGATAACTTTTACACCATATTCCTAAAAATCATAATTGTAAAATAAAAAGAAAAATATCCTTTACCACACTCCCTAAGTTTACATAGGGATTACATGGTAAGTACCAAACTGTTTTCATTTTTTCCCCCTCCTAAGCGTATAGTCTGAAAGTTCTGTCAGACATAGACAGTAAGCATACTCGGCTTATTAAGTTATACTGTTATTGTATTTAGAGGATCCAAATCCACAGTTTCAAAAGAAAAAAGAGAGGATCCAAATCCATAATACATTGACTCATTGAGACAGTAAAGGACAGTATACTATTCCTTATACATAAAGGGCTTGTATTTGCCAAGAGATTGACCCAACCCACGAATGGCTCCACATGCTGCAGCCAATGACACAAGCAAGCACACAAAGCTCAACATTTGATGTCCAAACCATCGAATTGTTCCTTTTCTTATCTTCTGTTTGACAATGAACATCTCCACTGGAAAATATACCACTGTAGGCCAAAACGCAATGGCCCCAAGAAGGGCAATCATGTCATTAAAAAAGGGCATTGCCATGGCCATCACAGTCACCACCACCACAAATATGGACCTCCAAATTAGCCTAAACAAATTGATGCTGAATTTCAATTTCCCAATGCTCACATGATTCTCTCTTGTTACAAAATTTGAACTTGGAAACTTCTTGAAGGCCAACATTTCAACTCCACGATAAAAAGGTTGGATAAGTACCCGCCCACATTAATTTATTCAAAATCAGTGGCCATTTCACTTTAAAAATGAAGATTTAAAAAAGGAACATTCATGCTGAATTTGCATTATATACCTGATATGCTCCAACTAGGTGCACTATGATGAAGACATTGGCCAAGTCCACTAGCCAGAAAGGTTTATGAAACCCAGAGCTCATGAGGATGCTGCCAGGAGTGTCTGAACCAAATGCAGCGTATCCAGAAGATGCGCACAAGAGGAAGATAACTGTCATCGTGAATATACCTATACTGTTTGCCTTCTTCATCACTTTATTTTCTGGGGGTGATGACTTTAAACTATCCTGTATTTCATAAAATGTAACGCCAAAATGTCCAATTATAGACTTCGTTTATCAATAAGAGTAATTGTCAATATTTTAGCACATTCATTGAATTATATATAGGAACTGAAAATCTACCAAAATACCATCTTCATTTTACTACGAAAATGTTACATAGTGCAGTAGATCTCTAATGCACCAATCATCTCTACCTATCAAAATATTTTCATACACATAAGTATATCACTTTTATTTTTGGCTATAAACTATGTCCTAAAACATTTTGACTTGTGAAATGACAGGGATAAAATGGTCGAATGAGAGTAAACTAACCAAAAGTTGAGTGCCATTAAATTATAAAGTAATTAGCATTCATACAAATAACTTCGCTTTCAATTGGCAATATATAATGCAAATTTATACTAAGATCCACCATAGAGTGATTGAGTAGATGAAGTTTGGTATTATGTTCGATTATTAATAAATCAGAAAAAATGAAGTTTGTGATAGGAGACAAAAACACAGCGTAGTAAGAAAAAAAAAGAAGGCTTATCTTATTCATAGCATTTTTTTTTTGGGATACAATTCATAGCATCTTCATACCTGTATATCTATGGCAATTAGAGTATAGGCACTGGCAAGTGCAACATTTCCAAGTGCAACGAGCATATTCCACAATCTGTCTGCTGAACCATGCCTCTTGCTGCCCCCTAAAAAAGAGGTACTCCTTCCATTCCCTGTTCCATCTTATAATTAATTACATCTTTATTTTTTCTTTTTCATTCATATTCCCGGAAAAATTTAGAGCGGTACCTACAGACCTGGAGAGGATTTTTGGTGGACCGGGATCATTTTTTTTTTGGGGTGCTCCTTTTATTAATTATAGAAAATTTGTAGAGACATGGATGGAAATAGAGAAAACAAAAGGATAGAGTAGAAAAAGAAAATTTCACATTTGGACAAGGACCATGTGATCCAAGACCACCGTAACTTTTCTCACAGACCTGTACGATCCTGTTCCATCGTACATAGGCCCAGCCCATCTTTCAACAGTAATAGCTTCTAGACTTGTATTTGTTTTTTTACATTATATAATCTAGTGATTTCATCTCCAATATCCTTTAAAAGAAATCTACCATGCTTTTAGTGCTTTTAATCGCAAGCAAGATATTGCGTATATTTTACAATTGCTTAATTAGACCCAAATTACTAATGACTAATTTATATATTTTTCATATAACCATTAATTTTTGCTACTTTTATCACTGACAATATATTATCATTTTATATTTATGCATATACAAAATAATTATAACCATATTGAGTAAAAAACTTCTATTATAATATTGAATATACTAGTAATTAATAATACATATTTTTTTAAGTACTTGACGTTGTCTTAAATATAAAAAATAGGCAGAACGTAATTAAAGTCAAATTTATGTTTGTCCCCTCAGTTATGACTTATGACACTACCAATTGGCAGTATTAATACAAATGCCAACTACTTAATTTATATAACTCAAACACGAATGAGAAAAGAAGGGAAAGAAAGTCGAGTAGAGTAACCTTGGATAACGGTTGCAAGAGAAAGTCCAATACCAATGAATGCGTACCCAAAAGACATGATAGCTGCTAAGATTGAGAGCCAAGACAGCTTGTGAAAACTGGGGATTTGGGACAAAATGATTTCAACAATTCCAACACTAATCATGTATGGATTATTAGAAAAACGGCACGGAGCTCCAATCCCATTCTTGTGGAAGCAATTGGTTTTTTGTATTGTCCTGAAATATGCAATTAATATCAATAAATCGCGTTGAAATTATTGTAGCCTCACAATAAATAAATAAACAAATTCTAATTATAGCTCATAAAGTTGCATCGATAATAGCTCAGGTATGTTAATGATATTTTTAGCATATTAAGAAATTGTTCCCATAAAGCCACTATGATTGATTTAGTAGTGAGAAATTTGACTAGTTTACATTAAATTATAGGTTCAAAATTTAGAGCTACCATTGTATAAAAATAAAATAAAATTGTTTCCATAACAAAAAATTTAAAATTTATCTTCCACTTTACTTAACTATCAAAACTATTTCGCTATGCCAAATTAGTCTTTTGCTAGTGTTGTAAATGCTGGGAATGTAATATGAAGAATATAAAGAGAACTTACACCACACTTATAGATGTTGTTATTGTGTAGCTAATTGCACACCCAGCAAGGGTAACATACTGGACCAATCCACAAAACACATACATTTTTCCACCTAAAAGATAGACAACAGAAGAATTGGAATTGCATTAATTGGACAAAGTAAAGCAAAGTAATCAGAAGTGGTGTTTAATGTTTAAGCACCTAAGTGAGTTTTGACAGCCTCCATGTAAGAGTAGTTCCTCTTGCCAGTGACAGGGTCTGGTGATCTATAACAATCGGCTACAAGATTGGAAGTGTAGAGCGTAACACAGGCGAAGATTAAGATACATGAAATGCCAAGGATCCATCCTAACTGGGCCATGGCCCATGCTAAAGACAGCACCCCAGCCCCTATCACTGCCGTTACGATATGTGCGCTCGCTGTCCCCACGGTACCTACTTGTCATCCAAATTAAACCCCTCATGTCATCATCTTCTTACAAATGAATTCGTTTTTTTAAGTCTTCCTTAACAATAATATTCGTCTTCAAATAAATCATAATATTTATTTCTTTAAGTACACCTATTAAATGTTCATTAACTAGTATCTTAGTTTAATGCCTTACTTCGGCAAACTACTTTAAGTTGGATTCATATAATACAAGTCATTTTACTACGTCCATTATAATACTAACTATTTTAAGTTTTACATATCATTTTAAAATTTTAATTTGGCTGAAGAATATTTAGTACATTCAAGTTTGAATTATTTTTTAATTTTCAAAAAATAAATTTTTTAAAAAATATTTTTTTAAATTAAAAATAAATGAATAAAAATTATTTATAATTTTAGAAAGTATGATAAATAGATTCATCAAAAGTTAATAGTTATATGAATTTATTTAATTTTTTATTTATCTTTTATATTTTTTTTGTCAACTTTTGATTTAGGTTTATACAGAGGCAGACTCACTCTCTTGCCTGTGTCTGCACATGCAGACACAAAAATTTGAGAATTTTTTTTTCAAAGGAGTGGGTGATTTAGGTCAAATAAAAAAAAAGATTGAAAAGAAAAAAGTAAATATAGGCCCAACTATGGTAGTTAAAATCAGGATCTTACCTAAAATCTGAAAGAGGATAAAAAATTGTGGGTTCGTAGTAATTCGACAAGTCTCAGTGAAAGGTAACTTTCTATATTTATTTTATTTGTTATTGTAACAACTTAGTTGACTCTTGATTAATTTTTTTTTTTTTATGTTAAGTTAAAGTTTTCTTTTCTTTTCTTGTTTATTTTTTTTTAATATATTTAAAATTTTCTTTAAAAAAAAATCTTCAGGGACGTTGCCCTCGAACCCCCGCCTTAAGTGTGCACGCATAATTTTTTTTTTTTGGATCCGCCACTGGATTTATATGACATAATTCAATATTTGAATGTAAATAGTGTAAGCATATGAAAAAAAAGTTTCTTTAAATTATATTGTGGGTGAAGCAAATTTAGGATAGAAAAGAAGAAAAGTGTGATGGAGAAGAAATTCCACAGAAGAGTGTGGAATGCAAATTTGGAAAGGAGAATAAAATAAGGAATTTGGGGGGTCAACATCATTAATTAAAATTTTAACAGATATGTTAATATGTTAACATCACAAAGTACAATGGGATTATTTGAAACAATTAAAGTATAAAGTTGTAATTTAAAATATGACTAAAGTTCAAGGAGATAATTATATTTTAGCTTAAAATTAATAATGAAGAAACACTTGAGAATACATTTTAAATACTAATATGTTCATAACAAGTCCCAATTTATAAAGAATTTCGATTTCGTATATGTTTAACTACATTTATTGTAGCAATCAATGCTCTCCATTTTTCAAAGAAAAACTAATTAAATGATGACATTGAATATCTCAAGATAATATAGCACAAAAAATTAAGTGATGGTCCAAATTGGGGTGAAAGTAAGTGAGGGGTGAAAATAAGTTAGGGGCTTGTTAAGACCTATAGTTTAGCCCGCCTCAGGCTAATACTTCTTTAAAAGCCGATTTAACTAAAAAATTCAGGTCTTAAGTTATTAAAAAAAAAATTAAGCTTGACTGGCTTTTTTAAAGTATAAATAGTATATTATTATTGTATTAAAAGTTTAATATAATGTATTGAAATTAAATATTTGTAAGTCTATCAAAAATTTAAATCTGTTGACCCATAAAGAATTAGGCGTGTGAATTTTTAAGAAAAAGGCATGTTGGCAGTTGGCAATTTGGCATATTTAAAAGCTTTGCAAATTATTGATGCTCACCTTTTTTTTTTTTATATACAATTAGAAATTGAACACATAACTTAATACAATCAACCCAAATTTCTCATCATTAGATCAATTCTAGTAGTTTGATACTCACCTTTTTTAAAGTATGTATGTTAGCATATTTAAAAGTTTTGTTATAAATCAGACCTTAAATAAGTTTTAAGGTCACGTCAAACATTTAACAAACTCAAGTTAAGCATTAAAAAAAAAATACCTATATCAATTAAATAGGCCCTGACCGTTTCTACTTTAAGTAATTTAAATAATATCAGGTGACACACAGAGACTCCCCCAAACTTAACTAGTATACTTAAAAAAGGAAATTAATCTAGCATACTTAAAAAAGCAAAAAAATAAAGTGCCCTACTGAAATTGGACCCATGGATAATTGTTATGAGAGATGGTGAGCTCTGCTAGGGTTTCAGGAGGATCAACTATCCTAGGGGAGATGGTTAACAAATCCAAATCGTTAGAGGAAGATGACTTATTGAGGAGGAGCATAGAGAAGCCAAAAGAAACGTTAGCGACGGAAGAACAAATGGTTGTTATGGAGGCTAAGGAAATGGCCATTGGGGAAAGATTGGCAAATGCTGGGCAAAAGAAGGTTCAGAAAAGCAACGAGGTCACACCGGATAGAAAGGTGGTATCCTATAGAGATACTCTACTCCAGTTTAATGGTTCCAGGGGTGAGGAGGAAAAGGAGGAGCATTGGATGGATCGTCAGCTACGGGAAGAGGAAGAAGATGATATCCAGGAGCAGGATATGATTACAGCTGAAGAGGATCCTTTCTGCCCCTCCTTCATATACCCAAAAGAGGTCCATAAGGAAGCTTGCAAGAAGTGGAAAAACGCACTTATAGTAAAGTTGCTAGGGAAGAGACTGAATGTCAAGTATCTTCTAGGAAGACTGTTGAAGATGTGGAGTATCTCAGGTGCATATGAATTTATAGACATGGAAAATGACTATTTTCTCTTCAAATTTTTGGACGGAAAAGATTATTCTCATGTCCTCCAAGATGGACCTTGGATCATCGCAGGGCACTATGTCACAGTACAAAGGTGGAGACCGTTATTCGATCCTTATGATGAAACACTTAAAAAACTCGCAATCTGGATCAGGATACCGGGCCTTCCATTGGAGTTCTACACATCCCAGTTGCTCTGGATTGTTGGCAACATGTTTGGGAGGACGTTGAGAATTGATCAAAATTCTATACGTAAAAAGGAAGCTAATATGGAGGAGTCTACTGAACGGGGAAGGTTTGCTAGAATATGTGTGGAGGTGGACCTCTCCAAAACATTTCTGTCCAAGTTTAAAATAGGAAGCATGGTCTTGCCTGTAGCTTATGAAGGCTTACACCTAATTTGTTTTGGGTGCGGTGGATATGGCCATAGGAAAGACAGATGCCTAGAAGTACATGGAGTGAACGATCCGGGAAGTAGGAAGGCTGGTGAAGCTAATATTCATTCATCCTACAAAGGGAAAGAAGTCAAAAGTGATAAAGAAGAACCATTCGGAGAATGGATGCTTGTTCAACGTCCAATAAGGAAAAAAACGAAACCCAGCCAGACGATCATCGAAGACTCAGGAAAAAAGAAGGTGGCGGTGGTTGATGCTACCGAAAGGAAGAAGCAGACGGGTGTTTCCAGGAATGATAAGACTAAACATAACATGGGAAACTTCCCAGTCAACTTTCACGCAGCCAGTGCAGGGGGATCGAGATTTGAAGCTCTTAGAAGTACGAGTGAAGCTAACTCTCAGCCAAACCTAAACTCTGTGCAAGCTACATCAGGAGCAGGGAAAAAGGCTAGAGCTACGGATTATCTACTCACTACTGAGGACAGTAAGTACAAGAGGTCTGTGACAGTCAATGATGGATTAGATAAAAGTAACAAGACCTATGAGAAAGGGACGGAATCTACTAGTGGTAAAGCTAAAACCGCTTTCGGTGAGCCCCATCCTGCTGAAAGGAATTTGAACAGAGAAGGGAGCGAATCTGAGACCAAGTTCTTGCCCAACCCCAAAGGACCAAAGCCCACTAAACAATGGCCCATAACACTGAAACCTGAAAGGGTCATCAGTAAACCAGCCCAAAAAATCATCCTTAACCCAAAAAAAACCCATCTGCTAAAAGAACCTCCATGCAGAGCAGTAAAATCGTAAGCTTAGCTGTCAATAGTGCAGAAGCCATGGGGATGGTGATTGCGGGAGAAACGCAAGGAGAAGATAAGGAAAATGTGAATCCTAAGTCCAAACCCCCTGATTCGCTGGAACTAATGAGGAGATTCTTGCAAACTCCTGAAGGAAAAGGAATGGACTCAATTGTATATACCGAAAGCGGTATGAGAGCGCTCTCAGAATTCAGACCATGACTCAGGTTTTTGAGTGGTTTGAGTCTTTAATTTTTATTAGTTATTTAATGATTGTGTGCAGCTGGAATGTGAGAGGAGCAGGTAAGAAAGGTCTTGCTCCTTTAATTCAAGATATCACCAAGAAATTTGGTATCAAGGTACTCTGTCTAATGGAGACCCGCATTAGTGGGGATAAAGCCAACCGGTGCATTGATAAGTTGGGTTTTAGCAACCACTTCATCCAAGAAGCTATAGGATTCTCAGGAGGTCTATGGCTCCTGTGGAATGAGGCAGAGGTTAATGTTCATGTCATCTCTGCGCATCACCAATTCATACATACCTCCTTGGCCTGGAAAGAATCAAAGAAGGAAGAGTTGTGCTCTTTTATCTATGCCAGTCCCAGGTGTATGGAGCGAAGACCTTTATGGGAAAGTCTCCAGAATTTAAACATAAACACCACTGATGCGTGGATCACAATGGGTGACTTTAACTCATACTTATGGGAAGAGGAAAAAGTTGGGGGTGCTGAGGCCAATTGGAACTCAATGAGAGATTTCCAAGCTTGTCTAGATGATTGCAATTTATCTGATATTGGTTTTAAGGGACCCCAATTTACTTGGAAGAGGGGAAGTTTGTTTGAGAGACTGGATAGGGCTTGCAGCAACGATACTTGGAATTTGAGGTTCCCAAACAGGTTCCTGAGCCATCTCCCATATTATAGCTCTGACCATAGACCCATCATTCTTCTGAATGGATTCTCTAATCGTGGCAATTGTAGCAATCGCCCCTTCCGTTTCATGGCATCCTGGTTAACTTGTGATTCCTTCCAGGAAGTTATAAACAGATGCTGGAGTGGTGAAATTAGTTGGAAACCTTCCTGCGAGAAATTCCAAGTTGAAGCTCAAAACTGGCATAATAGTTCTTACAAGGAAGCCAACATGAAAAAATTTGGCATCCATGCCAGACTTAAAGGCATTGACAACAGTCTAAGCAGATTTCATGATCCTGGGTTGGTAGATACTCAGAATTCCCTGTGGAAGGAGCTTAATGAAATTTACCTTCGGGAAGAGATTCTCTGGTTTCAAAGATCAAGATGTAAATGGCTGATGTTTGGTGACAAAAACTCAAAATTCTTCCATTCCTCTACAGTTGCTAGAAGAAGGAGAAACAGAATTGACTCCTTGAAGAATGAGAATGATGAGTGGATAGGCGAACCTAGCCAATTAAGCACGATGTTGGCAACCTTTTTTGAGAAGCTTTACTGTGAAGATGTGTTCAACAAGCCTAGCTTCCCCGTGAAAGGTGCCTTTCCCGTGCTTCGAAACCAAAGTTTGAGAATGTTAACTGTGATGCCTTCGGTGGAAGAGATAAAGCAGGTGATATTCCACTTTGGAGCCTTTAAGGCTCCTGGAGCTGATGGTCTGAATGCCCTATTCTTTCAAACTCAATGGAACAAAGTGGGAAAAACGGTTTGTGATGTTGTGAAGGAAGCCTTCCATAACCCTGCTGGTGTGGCCTCCATCAATCAAACACTCCTTTGTCTGATCCCCAAAGTAGATTGCCCTGAATCAGTGAGACAGCTTCGACCTATTAGCCTGTGTAATGTGATCTACAAAACAATTACAAAGCTGATCTCAAACAGATTAAGACTCCATATGAATCACTTGATTATGCCAAATCAATGTAGCTTTGTGAGAGGTAGACAAAGTTCTGATAATATCATCATTGCCCAAGAAGTCTTCCATTCCATGAGCTCGAAGAAGGGTAAAAAAGGGTGGATGGCCATTAAAGTAGACCTGGAAAAAGCTTATGACAAGCTAGACTGGGGCTTTATCAAGGATACTCTTCAGGATATCAAAATCCCTGACTCTCTTATTGATCTAATCATGAGCTGTGTTTCATCTTCCACTATGAATGTTTTGTGGAATGGTGCCACAACTAGAGAATTCAAACCGTCCAGAGGAATCAGGCAAGGAGACCCCATATCTCCCTACCTTTTCGTTTTATGTCTAGAGAGATTGGCTCATCTCATTAGCCTTGCTATAGATCAAAAAGAGTGGGAGCCAGTTAAGCTAAAGAAGAATGGTCCTCCAATCTCCCATCTATTCTTCGCTGATGATCTCCTTCTATTTGGAGAAGCTTCATCTAAGCAAGTTAAAGTCATGAAGCTTGTATTGAAGTGCTTCTGTGATTCTTCTGGCCAGAGTGTTAATACTGAAAAAACTCGAGTTCTTTTTTCCAAAAATGTCAACCATAACCATGCCAGGGAGCTAAGCAACGAGTTGGGGTTTGGTTTAACAGGAGATTTGGGGAAATATCTTGGGGTTAACCTACACCACAAAAGGGTTACTAAAGGTAGTTTTAGTCATATTCTGGAAAGAGTGCAAAGGAAGATGGGAGCTTGGAAAAGAAAATCTTTGTCCTTTGCAGGGAGGAATGTTCTTGCACAAACAGTCCTATCAGCTCTACCTATGTATGCAATGCAAACGAATATGCTCCCTCTTGGAACTTGTGATGCAATAGAGAAAGTTACTCGTAGCTTCCTATGGAACTCTAAAAGTAATGGTAACAGTATCCATAAAGTCAAGTGGAACAAGGTCTGCACTGTGAAAGAAATGGGAGGCTTGGGTCTTAAATCAATGAGGGATACCAACAAAGCTTTTATGATGAAAATTGGCTTTGGAATCCTCACCAAAAAGGATGCTCTGTGGGTCCAAGTACTGGAGAACAAATATCAGATTAGCAAGGACCCAATCCCTACCCTGAAGACTACAACTATGGGATCTAATCTCTGGAGAGGAGTGGTAAAAGTCTAGCCTGAAGTTCAAAGATGCTCCAGAATGATGGTCGGAAATGGTGAGAACACTAGGTTTTGGTTAGACCACTGGATCCCAAATATTGAGTGCTTGAAAGATGTAGCTCTAGGGGAGATTCCTGAACAACTCATCCAAGGGAATGTCGCTGAGTATGTTACCCCTGAAGGTTTGTGGAACTGGCAGAAAATGGCCAACCTTATTCCTGTGGAAGCTAAAAGATCCATTGATAGCATGATGCCTGCAAACCAGGAAAATGGTATTGATAAAGTAATTTGGACAGAGTCCAATGATGGTTGTTTCTCTGTCAATTCTGCTTACAGAATCCTTCAGAGAAATGAGGAAGAGATGGCTTTCGTGAATTGGAAAAATCTCTGGAAATGGGATGGTCCTAGTAGGATTAAATCATTCATGTGGCTTCTGGCAGGTGACAACTTATTGACAAACCAGCAGAGATTTATTAGGCATATTTCTGATTCAAGTTCATGTCCTCGTTGCCATGCTCAAACAGAAAGCTCCCTTCATGCAATTAGGGACTGTACTTGGTCACAAAGTATTTGGAAAGCGCTGGTTTATCCCCCCAAATGGCCCTCGTTCTGTCTGGACTCTTTAGAAGACTGGATGAATGAAAACTTGAAAATCGGATCAGAAATCAATAGCAACAGGAACTGGCCTCTTCTTTTTGGTATGGCTTGTTGGTGCATATGGAAGGAAAGGAATGAGTTCATTTTTAATGGAGTGAAACCAAACATTCAGAAAAGCCTTGGTTTCATCCGTAAGCAATATGAGAACTTTAATGCTGCTAAAGGTACTCTGGTAAAAGGAGGGCTTCATCACATTCCACCCCGAAGCCAAGAAATCAAGTGGAATCCTCCCCTAAATGGTTGGGTAAAGTTAAATGTGGATGGAGCCAGTAATTCACACAAACTCAAATCCGGGTGTGGTGGAGTAATAAGAAATTGCAATGGAGATTGGCTAATTGGTTTTGTCAGAAACCTGGGCAAGGGGAATGCCTTCAGAGCAGAAATTTGGAGTATCCTGGTTGGTCTTAATGTTGCTTGGGACCATGGATTTAGGAACATTATTTTGGAAGGGGACTCTACCCAAGTTATACAATTCATTGAGCAAGCTGATCATGACAATCATCCTTTAGCTCATATAGGTAACTCTGTTCGTTGCATGCTAGACAGAAATTGGTCAGTGCAGATTATTCACTCTCTAAGGGAAGGCAATGGTGTGGCTGACTGGTTGGCTCATAAAGCTTTATCAGCTGGAAAGACTGTGCAGATCCTTTTGTCCCCTCCTGTGGGGTGTAGGAATTTACTTAGTAAGGATAGTTTGGGTGCTGGAACCCATAGAGTAGCGTTGTAACCTTTGTTGTTTTGCTGTTATCCAAAAAAAAAAAAAGCAAAAAAATTAATGATCTATTTTATTTTTTTTATGTATTAGTACTTTTTAGTTATGAAACATTTATTTTTTTATTTAATATTAATCATATTTTAAATGTTTAATAACCAGCTATGTAATAAAGGTACCGTATTAACTACCCATTAAATACATTAAATGAGTGAAACAAACACACCCTTTATTTTTGTGCACGGGCAAACTTAACTCTCCAATGCTAGTTGTCTTTTATCGATGGGGAAGGATGGACCCGAGCAAAAGCACCTAGCCTCTATATTTGTTGAAGTACATTCTGAGAGGCATAGGTCTCTTGTGTCCTACCCAGTTAAACTCTCTCAAAATATAACCCAAAGGACTAAAACCATGGTTAAGTTCGGTTTGAATTCAATTTAATTTCAAAATAGTTTTTTATTTTCAGAATATTTTTTTTATATAAAATCTGTTTTGTAAAAATAATTTTAAATATTATATTTACTTTTTAATTTTTAAAATTAAATTTAGAGAATATATTTTAATTGTTTATGTGGTGTTTTAACTTTGAAAACAAAAAAAAAAAACATCAAAAACACTTGTTTTATTAACTAGTCTTAATTTTCAGCTTTTGACTCTCATAGGCATTTTAATTATATTTTACACACAAAAAGTAAAAAAAAAAAAAAAAAAAAGGTGGTGAAAAAGCTTGTGCATAATTCAAGTGGTGGTAAAGCTCAAGCCAAATAAGCTAAGAGATTGTGAAAACGAGACGATAGAATTGCATGCAGGAAATTTAGAGAGAGTAAAGAAAGAGAATTTGGACCTGTTCTTTTGGGCCTTCCATCATCGTCAAAAAGAGCACTCGAAACTTCACTAACACCGGATTCCACTTCCATATCTTCTCCTTCCGATCAAACGAATATTGATCCCGAAACAAAGTTGAAACCTTTCTTAATTCGATGGTTTAGGTGGTGTAGCTAGCCAGAATAAGAGAGTAATTAATAATTATTTGTAATAAGCATACTATAAGCAGGTAGAGGTAGTGTGGGTGTGCATACCTTAATTACAAGAACTCAAATGTCACTAGAATGTTAAACGGTGATGCTCTGAGATCATTCAGTACTCCCCATCTGAACTAGAATATCTAAATGTGTGTGTGTGAGAGAGAGAGAGTTAGCTTGAGATTTGCGCTATATATGGAGCAAACGCACTCATTTATAATAAGTATATTAATTGCCACAATTGTTGGACCCCCGTTTTTTTTTTTTTTTTTTTTTTTGTGTGTGGATAAAACACATGTATACTTTATGAAAGATAATAATGTTCGAGCCGGAAACATTTATATCATCGTGAGATTAATAGTTCTCCTAGAATACCTTACTCAAGGGTACCCATTTCTTTGATGATCTACCATTCATGAAATTAATCCATTCACATTTGACAGTTCTCAACTTCTCATACTAAGTTGCTATCGAACCTCTCTAATTTGATAAGTTTCTCATATTTAATTTCTAAATAATCTAGAACCAAAATATCACTTGGATGTTTAACATTAGTTAAATATGTGTGTGTGTCTTTTAATATGAATTTAACTCTATATAATAAAATATAGTCATCGTTTTTGAGGAAGAGATAATTTTTTTAATGTACTCTCTCTCTCTTTTTATCTAAGTTTTATAAAATTTCCTAAAAATTATATATAGTATTTAAACTAATTAATAAGTAATTATAATAATTTACATCAATCATTTTAAACACATATTAGCTTTTTTTAAATATGCATTGTTGTGGCTATTAACTGACAAATGAATAAATGAGGCTCATGCATTTATCATGTCCTAGAACTAGAAGTTACTATTAATAATTAAATAATAGAAAAATAAAATAAAAATAAGAAAACATTAAATACATACGTTTTACCATAAGAGATGTTATAACCTACATCTGGCTCCTACAATTTTTTTAATCCAATCCAATTTAATTTGGAATCGTATGGGTGGCTCTCCAACATCATTCTAATTACTTAATAAATTTGGAATAAAAAGGTAAAAGTATTGAATATTTTAAACGTAACAATTTTATATATCTTCAAAATATAACATTACACCTTGACATAATTCAACGGTCAAGATTGACTAAGATCGTGACTATTAAATTTATTTTAATTTAACAAATTTAAGTTAATTTTTTTTAAAAGAAACATATTATTTAATAATCATTATGTTTGGAATGATTTGTTCAAGTTTTGATGTATTTAATTACCAGCAAAAACTAACCAAGATTTTCTTACACACTCTAAAGCAGTGTTTTAAAACTCGGACCGGTCATCGAACCGGTCGAGGTACTGGTCACGGGTTCAACCAGTTTTACTGTTCACATATTAAAAATATAAAAATATTACTTATATTAATAAAAATTCATATAAGAAAAATATCAATGAGCTTCAAGAAATAAATTAGTTTTCAATGATAGCAAATATTATATACTTCTAAGCTTCTAGCTCTAGACCGTATCCTTATATTGGATTAAACCATGCAATATAAGTTAAATGCACTTTTTGTGCTTGACATGATACGGATAAATTAAATCATGATAGCAAATAGTATGCATGAAATATACACTATAAGAAAAAAGTGTCCACCGTTGAGATGAGATTATGAGACCATCAGTGTTTATCACCACTTAACTTCATGAGATCATTATAAGATGCAACTAAATTACATAAACGAACTACACTAATCTAAAATACCTTATTATTTTCACCTTACTTTTAATCATATTCATCATAAAATATGAATATGATTTAATTCAAGAGTTCTTATCAACAAAAAAAAAATTTACCCGAAAAAAGAAGAAGAAGGAAAAACCGGTTTAACCCGAGTCAACCGGATCGCCGAGTTTCGGCCGGGTCAACCGGTCCAATCCGGGCTAACTGCATAACCAGTTCAACTACTCGTTCGGACCGGGAAACCCACCGGGTCACCGAGTCCCGAGTCGACCCGACCGATCCGAGCCGAGTTTTAAAACACTGCTCTAAAGTCTAAAATGTAAGACAGAGATGTGACGAATTCTTATGAGACTATGAACAAGATGCGGGCCATATCTGAATAATATATAAACTTGGAGGATTTCGAAAAGGTGGTGGACCCTACGAATAAGCAGAAAAGGAAGGGTGGACATTGTAAAGCAGAAAGATTTGGATGCTCCCTACTTCATCTATTTGGTAATTGAATTCCTAGCTCCTTCTAGCACAATGGTGGTGATGGTACTGTAGTAAGAATAAGGTGATTTATCTGTAATCACACTTTAACATCTGTAGTAAGATATTGTATATTAATTTTTACTTTAAGGCTTTATTGCTTGATTTTTATACACTGTGAGATGGTTGAAATTTCTTTTTAGGAGACAAAGTCTCGGCCTTACGAATAAAGTGGTAGTGTAATGCTAATGTGTGAAATAGAATCTTTACTAAAAAAAATGTGTGGAATAGAATCTCAGTATCATTGGTCAAACTGACCTCAAATAGTCCAATTAATCATTGTGGGGATAAATTAAATACCTTTCTTAAGTTGATGAGTGCAACGAGTCAAGTAAACCTTGCTAGGACTGATTTTTGTGTATATATATTCTCATCCTGTAAAATAAATAAATAAATAAAAAACAGTATTTTATCCATGAATCCGAAGTATATTACCAAAATTTAAGCTCTTCATTTATTAAAGCTAAGTATTAATCTATGATAAGAGTTATAATTATTTAGTGATAGTTGCGTGTAGCTACTATCAATAAAGTAATTACCTTCTTACTGAACATTGGTTGCTTGAATAAAATAAGACTTACAGTATCTATAATTCACAATAGGAAGATTATTTTAAGAAATAAGATTAGAGACTTGAAAGCTATTTAGTTTATGTTCGAATAAATTGAAAAAGGGGAGCTTTGTAATATTATTTTATAAATTTTTTATTTTATGAAAAAATGAAAAAATATTTTTTGGATTTAATTTTTTCAAAAAAAATATATAATTATTTTAAAATTTATTAGACATATTTTTAATTATAAAAACTTGCCTTAAAAAATAAAAACAAGGGATAATAATTTTATTTATTTTTTCAAAAATTATTTTAAGAAATTCTGAATTTTTTTTATATCACAAAATTAGAAACTAATCTAAAGATTCTTTACTCCATTGTGTGCTTATCAATTGTTGCTTTTGATTGATGCTTCCTTTTCAATGACAGAGACATTGAAGCATTGTTTGAATGGTGTAAGAATGTTCCAAATGAAAAACTAAAAAAATAAAACATGAACAAAGTTCCATGATTGGAAGTATGGAGGTAAATGAGTCAGGTCGAGTTAAACTTTAGCTTGAATAAATTATATTTATGTGAATTATTTCAAGTTTAACTTAGTTTGTTAGTGTGATAAAAGCCAAACTTATAGCTTGGCCAGGTTTGCTTTTAAAAAATATAAGGTTTGGCATATCTTATTAATCCTACCAAACTTTTAAAAATAGCATGTAACACTTCATAAAATATAGGTTAAAAAGTTATAAGGCATTATTTTATTAAAAATACAAGATATCAACTTATTAAAAAATAATAAAATATAATTTCATTACAAATAAAATAAAATATAATTTATTAAAAAATACAAGTCGAGTTTGAAGATTTAAAAATCAGGCATGATAAAATAAACGGAACAGTGATCAAAATACCACGTTTTATCAAATTTTTTATCCAAATGTCACGAGAACATTATTTTTTACCAGACTGTCACGTGTCATAATTCGCTACCACTGGTAGCGAATTTCGTGGCCAATAATTTCGTGACACGTGGTCATATTACAGACCAAATTCGCTACCAGTGGTAGTGAATTATGACACGTCAGTTTTTTTCCTGCGAAAATGTGCCACGTGTCAAAAAATCATTCGCGAACATAATATGCTACACAGGGTAGCGAATTACTACCTGTTTGAAACGTGTCATTTTTGCTGACTGTGCATTCTGACGTGGCATAATTCGCTACACTGTGTAGCAAATTATTTGCAAACATATTTCGCTACACAGTGTAGCGAATTATCCCACGTGGCATTCTGGGAAAATTTACTTTTGACGTGGCAGTCTGGTAATTTTTTTGGCCAGACGTGGCAAAATGGTCACTGTTCCAAAATAAACATGTGACTTGATTTTTAAAAAGATTTTTAATGAGTTCGAGTCTGATCTGGATAAAATATAGGCTAGTTAGAGGCCCAATGACATACAGTGAAGCCCAATCCCATTAAGGATCCAGAGTAAAACGCGATGGTCAACATCGCGCACAAGACGCGATACCCCCATTGCGCAGGGCAAGACGCGATGCTCCCATCGCGCATGAAACCGCCCTTTGATATAAGATCCAGAAATAAGGAAGCTTACTTAAGAACCAAGGCAAGCCCACCGCGTTCCTAAACTAATAGACAAAGGACAGCACCAGCTCGCCGCAAAAGATAGCTTGATACTAAGGAGATAAGGCAACTCAGACCATAGCCTGACCTGCAGCCCAGGCATGGTCAATCAGAAGCCATACCGCCTTACGAAGGCGGCATCATAACTTCTATATAAGCAGAGGGTACACACCCAGGTACATCTATCTATTCTCATTATCATATACATACACCTGCTTCTGAAACTGACTTAAACATCAGAGTGTCTTCGCAGGTACCCCCATTCGGATTCATCGCGATAGCAAAGAACAAAGGCATACTTATCTTCAACAATAATTCCAAGCCCAAGGCAAAGAACAACATCCTCGTCTCAACCGTGTATGATTTAGCCCAATACACATTGGCCAGCCCATATTGTATTTATATCAAGTCAAATAAAAGCAAGTCAAACTGTAAATCCTTTACAAATCGTCTGCCCATTTACCCCTTAGTTGGAAGATTGATAAACGTGGAAAATTCATTTAAGATTTTGGAAGAAGCTGTATAGAGAAGATGCCAGCACAAGAAAACGGAAAATGCTATCATAACAGTGCTGCTATCTCTATATATCAGACAAGCTTAATGAAGGACAGTCACATTGGGAGAAGAAAACATAAAAATCCATTCTGGTTGGGTTTGTAGAGAAAGCCCACATAACATCCTTGTTGGCGGGGCATTCACCGTGGCTTCAATAAGTCCACCAAGATCTTTGGGCACTGCCTTGATTACTCGCGTGGGTGTTAATGGGCCGGGTTTAATTTAATCCATATCCATCTTTTCTGAAAAACGAAAGGATTTTTTTAAATGGGAATAAAGTATCTAATATTATTTAAAAAAAATTGTCTAATATTCAACGAAATGTCATTATTTTAGGATTGAAAGACTAAAAAATTAGAATCATAAAGATTATTATAATACTATAATAAATTAAAATTACAAACACATCTTGATTTCCATCTTAAAATGATATCGTTTCGATGAATATTAGGCAAAATTTTCTAAAGTAACATTAGAAAAAAATAAAATCTTTTAAATATGAAACCAACTTTGTCATTATTTAATTAATGTCTGGGTTAATTTAATACTTAAATAAAATACCCAAATTTAAATATTTTATATATTTAATTAAGGGTTCACTTTTTCTACAGTCAATGTAAATAACTTATCTACAGTGAATCCAAAACAACGTTATTTTGAGACGAAAATCAAGGTATTTTTGTAATTATAATTTATTTCAAGGTTATAATAGTCTTTTTCATTATAATTTTTTAATTTTTCAATCCAAAACGACGTCGTTTTGGGAGCGAATGTAGATAACTTATCTACATTCACTTTAGAAACATTAAAGCCTTTAATTTATAAATTTTAAAAGTAAAATACTAAAATTATAGAAGTGTTACAATATATATTTTTTAATTTAAGAGTAAACTCTAACTTTGGTTGTTAAGAAAATATTTCATTTAACGATTTAATCCGTAGAATATAAATTTTATCAATTTAGTCCCTACAATATAATTTTTTCAATTCCCCCCCCCCCCCCCCCCCCCCCCCACAATTTATTTAAGTTTAGAGTTATTATATTTAAAAAGTTATCTGCAACGTTAAAAGATGCCATAACATATGCAACTCAATCAATTAAACTAAAATGATGTCATTATAGCAGTATTATGCTTCTTCTTCTTTTTTCGGTAAACATATCAGTATTATGTTTTTTTTTTGGTAATATATATCAGTATTATGCTTTACTTGGGCATATATGTGCATATAATATTTAATTTCAGAATATTTATATATATTTTTTAGGATGAACTTTGTCTAAACGAGGTCATTTTGGCTTAATTAATTGTTATATCATCTTTGGACACTAGCAATTTACTTTTAAAGTCAACATTGTTAAATTTAAATACATGTAAGATAAAAAAAGTAGGAATTTCAAATTTACTGGATTAAATTGACAAAAAAAAATGTATTTTCAAGGATCAAATAGTTTGTTTTTTTTTTAGTACATAGAAGAGAGAAAGGCACAAAAAAAAAAAAAAACTAAAGACTAGGAATTTTTGAGTCCACAAGAGGACCCAAATCACAGGGGATTTTAGCCAGCCTCACAAAATTCTTCCTAGCATGGCTAGCTAACCAATAAAATTTTAGTCTTAATTTTTTTTTTTTGGTAGGTGTTTTTACTCTTAATTTAAGTGAAGAAGTTTTATAATTTATTATTAATTTAAAAAAAAAAGTACACATGTGCACAACTATCTTACAACAAAGTATTATATTAACCTAACCTAAAAATACATAGGGTTTCTACCTCCTGAAGATGACAAGTTTTTTGTTCTCTTCCTCCTATTGTTTTTAGGGGACCTCTCATCTGCGAGTAAGTCTTGCATAATTAGGATTGTCTGAGGTTTTTTTGTTGTTTTGCTGGGCTTTAAGCCCTACATTAAAAAAAAAGAAAAATACATCTAATTTTTAAGATTCGAATTCAACCTAAAAATGTATATTTTTAATTTTCAAACTCTACCAATAAACTTCGGGTCAAGTTTAACTATTGGACCGAGCCGAATCTTAAAGAGGTTAGTGACATTTGGACTGATCACTACAAAAAGTTGTTCATGGTATTGTTTTGAATCTTTGATTCTCTCGGTTTACGTCTTCCCCTCGAATACTTTGGTATCGAGTATTCAGTGTAACAGTGATATTATAATTACGTATTTTGAAAAGTATATAATTATAATATTAAAATTATTTTTTTCTCACTTCATGTTAATCGACAAATTTGAAAAAGAAAAAGAAAAACTTTAATATTATAATTCTGTAATTTACAAAATATATAGTTATAGTACCACTGTCGCGCACTGAGTGCGAGGTAATACTAAAGTATTATTCCTTGTCATCAAGGTTGGTATAGGGGTAGATATTAATAGGAATTATAATTAGTTAATATTAAGTCGTACGGAGTTATTGTTAATTTTCTCGCGTTGCGCAAATTATTATAAATATTTCACAAGCTTGATATGAATTTTAATTACTATCAATATGTGACACAGATTATTAATTTTCAAGTGTGATACAGGTACTAATTATAATTTGCTCGGCCACAAAAATCAGCTAGGTGGCTGAGGAAATGTGAAATATATGGGAAAGAAAAAATGACAAAGTGCTTGTACGCAGAAAGGCATCAACAGAAATTTATTATTAGTTAATTGAGCAACACTGAGTTTGGTTTTGTTTTGAAATGGGCTATTGTTTATACATGAAGAGTTTGTATTTGTTGATATTCTTGCTAATTCCACGAATGGAACCAACTCCTGCGGATGCTGAAACAAGGAAGCACACGAAGCTCAATAGTTGGAGCAAACACCACTTCACTGATAGTCCTTTAATCTGTTTCTGTGCAATGTGCATTTGTATTGGGAAGAAAACAATGAGTGGCCAAAACCCAAATGCACCAAGCAGGGCAAGAAACTCATTGAAAAATGGCATCGCCATTGCAATAATCGTGACCACTATCACAAATATTGTCCTCCAAATTAGCCTAAACAGGTTGATACTGAACGTTAAGGAGCCCATTTTTGTTGGGTATTCCTTATTTATGAAAGCTGAATGTAGCCACACCATGTTAGCACCCATCTCAACTATACGAAATATTGGTTGAGCAATCACCTGTCACATAATATTGATAAATATATCTCACATTAATTAGACATTATAAATTAATACACATATATATAATGATGGCATTGAATTTCATAAATAAGATAATCTAACCTGATATGCTCCTACCATGTGAATTACAATGCACACATTTCCCAAAGCGACCAACCAGAAGGGCTCGTAAAATCCAAAGCCAGTGAGGATGTTACCAGGTGTATGATCCCCGAAAGCAGCATAGCCAAGGCTACCACATAGGAGGAAAAGTATTGTCATTGCTATGATCCCAAATACATTGGCCTTTTTCATCTGTTTGTTTTCTGGTGGATATGACTTTAATGTGTCCTGAGTAAAACATTGAGATTATCAAATTAATTCATTGGAATATATAACTGATAATTCCATTTTGCTAAATCTTGAAATAATGATGGTGTAATTAGTAAATTGTGTGTTTTTACCATTATATCATAAACAACAGTAGCAAAAGAGCAAGCAAGTGCAATGTTTCCCAAAGCACTGAAGACCCTCCAAATTTTATCTGCTCGAGATAGTTCTGGTCCTATTTTGTTTCCGAATAAACTGGTTGCTCCTCCTTTCCCTGTTCATAGCCAAACTGCTTTTTAGCTTTTGAAAAACAAAAAATTATGCATTATTTTTTTTTAAAAGTTAAAAATTGTTTGGATGTTAAAAATAAAGGGGAAGGATATACTTACCAGCAAAAAAAAATTTACAACCTTTACAACTAATCTAATCACCATTGATTTTCGTCAATCTAAAGGTTATAATTTATTAAAAATTATTGGGTCGCATTTATTAATTTCCAAAAAATTATAACCGTTAAATTGACGGAAATCAACGGTGATTAAGTTGATTGTAAAGGTATTAAACTTTTTTTGGTGATAGGTATATTCTGTCCCAAAAATGAAAAGAAATTTTTATGCATAATTTTACTAAAAAAATATGTAAAAACAAAATTTGTGATGATGATGATGATGATAGCAAATATCAATGACGTTGATTGTACTGATAAAAATGGAGGCTGCATTGGATTGGTAGAGGTTGAAACAATCTTAAATTTTTTGAAAAAAATTAACTTACTTTAATACTTTTAGAAGCTAGAAATTTGAGCTTTAAAAGAAAATAGTATTTTGACATTTTTTCTTAATTTATTCCTTTTTTTTTCAAAAGCTAACATTAGCATTTTGGAATTATTAATGTTGGAAGCTTTTGGAAAAATATAGGTGAAAGTTATACCCGAGACCACGACTGCGAGAGAAAGCCCACTTCCAATGAATGCATAACCGAAAGCGGTAATAGCAGCAATGGTTGAAAGCCATGTTAACTTGTGGAATTTTGGGATCTGGGACAATATAATTTGCACTATCCCAAAACCGATCATATAAGGATTATTTGAAAATTTGCAATAAGCTCCATGGCCTCTTTCGTGGAAACAAATCGCTTTCTTTATAGCCCTGCCACACATCATCACAAAAAAATAAAAATAAAATAAAAATAGAAAAAAAAAAATACACGAGGAATTCAGAATAAGTAATCTCATTTGTATATCAGCCACACACGTAATTAGTTTATCAATGTAATAACGTACACCAAGCTTGTAGAAGTAGTTATTGTGTAGCCCACTGTAACCCCAACGAGCTTCCCATATTGGACCAATCCGCAAAACAGGTACATTTTTCCACCTAATTATTAAATAGAAATATGGAGTTAACAAAAACATTTGAAATAGGCCATGAATTTATGTAGACGACTTAATTTTGATTGATGACGAGTGCAAAATTTTTTAACACTATAATATATATATATATATATATATATATATATATATATATATATATATATATATATATATGATTAGAAAAGTAAACTTTTCACACTCAAATTGTTTTAGTGATGTAACATAATATAATTAAATGATAAATATTTTCACTTACTGTAAATAGAAATTTAAATACTTATATATGCGAAGAAATATATATAACTTGGGATTATATTAAATAAGTTTATTATGTGTTTATGATACCTAGGTATGCATGGACGGCTTGCATGTAAGTGTAGTTCCTCTTGCCATTGATTGGGTCTGGATATCTGTAGCAATCAGCTATAAGATTATAAGTGTAAATGGAGATGCATGAAAAGGTGATCATAATGGTTATGCCAGCAATCCATCCCAGCTGAGCCATGGCCCATGCCAGAGCAAGCACTCCTGCTCCCACCACCACTGTTACTATGTGCGTCGTAGCCGTCAACACGTTCCCTGTAATCAAGACAGCTGGATTAACGTGAGTATTAAAATTTTCGAGTGAAAAATAATTAACATTTTTTCAGTGAAAAATAAATAATTATACAATATATATGGAAAATAATAATAATTTTCGAGTTCTTAAAGACATCATCAAATATATAACTAAAAAATGAAGACGAGTTTGCGGTCATGATCATGGCCAACGGGTCTAATATAGGGCACTCTATGCAGATTTTTCTCACCACTTTGGATTTTTGACTAAATGTGAATTTTAAAAAAATTCACTTGTTTAGTTTGTTGACCAAATATTTTATCGGACTAATGCAGGAAGACGTATTTCAGGTGACTACGCGTTTAGTTGTGCACCTGATACATGAGCGTTTCTGAGAAATCTGAACAGTTTTTGACAAATCTGAACACATTTGTACTTGGTGCGTATCTGAACACGTCTGTATCAGGTGCATATTTCTGACAAGTCTGAACACTTCTGTACTTGGTGCGCGTCTAAACACGTCTACAAGAAAAAAGTTTATTTGTGACAAAAATTTTGGTCACAAATTTTATCACAAATGACAATTTTTGACACAAATAATCAAATTTTGTCACAAATAAATTTGCGACTTAGGAATTTGTGACGAAATTTCATATGTAGTGACAAAATTTGCGACACTAATAAGATTTTTTCTTGTACAGGTGCACATTTTTTACAAGTCTGACAAACACAATACCAAGTCGCCTCATGTTCAGGCACGCATTCCGTGACATAAACCCTAAACACGCATGTGTCAGGTGCGCGACTAAACGCGTAGTCACTTGAAATGCGTCTTTCTGCATTAGTCCGGTAAAATGTGTGGTCAACGAATTAAACATGTGAATTTTTTTGAAATTCACATTTCTTAGATCAAAAACCCCACCACTTTTGAGTCTCGATGACATAAAAATATAATATATAATAAAAATTGGATATCATATTTAAGGGAATGAGCCGTTTATAAATTTATTTTACAAATTTTCGCAAATTACTCTATGTATTCACGGAAGTACATAGTGTATTTTCGGGAGTACATGTAATTTATAAAAATTTATAAATATAATCTCATTTTACTTATTTCTTTTTTTGCTTACTTTTGCCTAGCACTCTTCAACATTATTAGATCATAATCTCAATTACCTTTATTATTTCTCTCTTCTATTGAGATTCTGATATAATGATATTAGAAAGTAATAGACAAAAATAGATAGAAAAAGAGGTAGGTAGAATAATCTATCCTTATATTAATAATAATAATAATAATAAGGGTTTTATAATTCTCATGTTGAATGAGAATTAAAATCTTATGTTGTAGAGATAAAAAGCATGTGGGATCCACGTGTTAAAAAAAATTATATAAAGAACCCATATCAGCACGGAAATCGAGAAGAAATGTATGGAAAAATTTTAATTCTCATGTTGAATGACAATTATAAAACCCTAATAATAATGTGTATAAACAAGTCATGTGAATTATGAGAGGGCCGGAGAGATAGGGAAAGCAGACCGGTTCTTTTGATTCTTCCATCATCATCCAGCTCCGCATTTGAGTCTTTCCCCGAAACACCCTTACTCTCTTCAACGTCCATTTGGAGATCCCTGTGTGTGAAGGTAGCTGTTAGCTTAATCAGTGAGTAGAGTTTGTGTTGAAAAAGAGACATTCTACGAAAGTAATCAACATCTTCATTTATATATATACAAACCTGTTTCAAAACGGAATGCTCTGTTGTTTTTCTGTAAAGCGAGAATCCTTCCCTTCTCTGCAACCTTCAAGTATTGGTCGCTTCCCCTTATCTATCAAATGACCTCTCATTCGTAGTATTCATATAACTAGAATGTGCCGCACCACTATTTTCCCGTCTGTATCTGTCCCCCACAAAGATGCCTTTCGTCAACTAGTGTTCCCCAGGTCTGCCATGATTTTTTCTGATTCCAATTTATTGTTTTGCTTAATAAGTTCCCCTTCAAATTCATCCACCAAAAAGTTTTCCCTTGAATTCAAAATAATGTTAATTGAAAAATGTTATATTTACAAAAATTTTGTTTATAAACTCTTACAAACTATACTATGTTTGACCAGTCATACTTCAATAAAAAATGTATAACCGGTCAGACTTGGCATAATTTGTAAAAAAAAATTATAAACGGATTCTTTCTCGTGTTAAATTATATAGATATAATTTATATGGTAATAACTTTTAATCTAACTTTATAATTATTGAATAAAAAGATACGCAATTGATATCCGTGTAAAATTGATCACTTTGTTAGAAAGGAATGGAACAATTTATACATGTGTAAGATTTGACATTGTTATATCACACAATAATTTTATACAAAATATAATTTATTAATCAAACCACTGAATTATAACATTCATTATTTGCACCAAGTAAAACTGAAATCTCACTTTCTCAGCGTTGCTTTAGTTTAAATAAAAAAAATTCACCTAAAAAAAAACCAAAGCATTGAGAAGTCAATTACTTTATTAGTTTCTTCCAAATAAGATAGTTAAACTCGATATCCTACTTAAAATTATAATATGATAAAACACAAATAAATCACAAGATCGTGAAGATTTTAATTAAAATGTAAAATTATATTCAAACATATATACATATATATATATATAATAACATAAATAATAATATATTTATTGATACAATATGGATATAAGTATGTATTAACTGTATACTCATTCTTATAATATCAATGTTATTTATATATAATTTTTATTATACTACTTTTATATTATTTTTCAAAATAATCCAGCAAAAAGCCAAAAACACACATTTGACTATGTTTTTAACCACAACGGTTAAATACTGTTGATGTGTCCTCCACATATTATGCCCAGTCCTCACAAGTCAAATCAAATCTCTCACTCCGCTTTTGGTGATTAAATATCTATCACTATCGTATATGCTCTTGTACTTTAAATTAATCTTATAATTAATTTAAAGAATCAAAATTTGTGAAAGTATCGAAAGGAATTAACTAACTTCAAATAAAATATTAAAATTGGGTTGGCTCTGAAAAAAGATATTAAAA